TTGCTAAGACTAGCCCACGGCACGCTTAGCACTCTTCCTCGTAATACGCCATTAGTAAAAACTGACAGAGTCGTTGGCCGCTTGTCCTCGTACACATTGAATCGTCAAACAGAAAATTACGGTACAATGCATCGTAGCGGAAGCGAGCTAAGCTCTGAACGAAGACAACGTTCCGTCTGGTTAATCGAAAGGACGACATAGGCGAGATTTTGTTGTACAACGTTTTCCACGTTGTGAAAGACACCATGTTTGAAGAAAGAAAGGATGAAGCCTCGTTGTATTACAAACCGAGGTACTTACGTTGAACATCGGTCAGACAGATTGTTTCTCGTCGGCGCGGGACTTTGCGCCGAGTCATTGGGCGCGCAAATGCCGATGCAAGCGCGCACGCGTTACGACAGAGTTTGATGCCAATTCATTCGATGAAATTATGAAACACGTGGCGAGCGCCGCGCCGCGCCGACTCGATTTTATTCCTCGGTTGGAAGTGCTTGCGATCGCTGTGCATTGTACAATTTTCTTAGACACCGCGGGGTGTAACCCCGATTTTTCGGTCTCTGCCTTCGACGCGCGTCCAAGATGAAAGCACACTCGACTAGGATGATTTAACGTGGGTAGTTCGACGTTGCCCTCTCGAACGTCCGGTCATCGCGAGTGTAGTAAGACGCCGGTTGTATGTACATGTCCGCGACTGGTATGCGACCAGTATGTACGTCCGGAATATATGCTTGTCCTCGTGCTGGCCCTTCGTATAAAAGCCTGCTCGTGTTGTAGGTAGAATCGGAGTTCGCGGTCCGCGAAATACCGATGTACTCGCGGAGTTCGTCAGCGAGCGCGAACGTGTCAGAGAAAGCGCGAAACAGGGGAAGAAAGGGAGAGAGGCGAGCAGTAGGCTTGTTGGGCTCTGAATTTACGACGAAGACCGCGATAACCTCGATAGCCCGACACGGGTATATTGCAGCCCTGAAGACGGTCAGCTGTCTATCGCCGTTCCCTGTTTGCTGCTCCGCTCACTTTTCGCTCGTGCATCCTGGAATTTCGGGGACGTTTCTCTTTCGAGTGGATGCCAGGAGGAGGACGACGATTAATGGCTCGCTCTGTCGCTCCGAGAGCGTCATTCAACTTGCAATATTAAGAATCGCTTATATCGCGCTCCTTCGTATCTCCGTACGGTGGTTTACTAATGGTCGGTGCATAAACAATGACTGGAGCCGTTGCAGCTGACTCGAGAGAAAAGTCTCGCGTGCGCTGCTCCACAAAGCAATATCTAGAAGGAATATCGCGCGATCGAAGGCGGACGTCTCGGTATGTATCCGCGTCAAATACAACCTACGACACTGGAAGGTGTTATGCCTGTCGTGATCGTTCTCGCTCGCGTACACGGCTGTCCGTCTATCCTGCTCGGCCATCTGAAAAAAGCATTCAAGTAACGACGTATTCTCACGCGTTTATTCTCTAGCCACGATCTACGCTCGTGGATACGAGCCTACTTATGCGCACAGGTGCGGGCACAAGTATACAAGACGCGGATAAAAGCGTGTACCGGTCGCGAGATAGCCGGATTCGAAGCGTTAATGTATTCGTCGGGCGGGCTACCGATACATTCGCGGCGGACGACTTGCTCCTCTTTGCTGTTCTTCGGATCCTCTTGGGGCCAGCTTTCCCTTCCCTCTGCTCCAACTAACTCTGGGCCTTTCTCTCTACTCTCTTTCTCCTCACCTCGCCTTTAAACTCTCTCCGTCGTTCGCTTTCCTGAAGGCTCTTGAGAGCTAAATATAGCTAGGGCCCGGTTATAAATAGAATAACCCCGCGGGCCAAGATGGCCGGGGTCAGCTCTTGCCTCGTCGATTTCACGTCCTTCTTCTTCCTCTTCTTCTTATTCGAACGCTCCCTCATCTTCTTCCTCTTCATCTTGGCTCCTGATTTCTCTCCTCCTTTCTTTTGCACACCTTGGCTCTCTGGGTACCAGGATTTACCTGTCCCCACGCGTCCGCACGGCTTTAACACCTTCTTGCCCACCCCGGCCAATTCCACGGGCCGACCTTACGCCGGTGAGGTCGGTTCCCTCGATAAGAGGTCACCGACTCTGGCCCTCGCCTCGTCTCGGTGTGCTGCCCTCGAAGGAACCTCTTTCGGTCGTTCGCATGTTATTGCTGCGTTTTACCGCTTCACCATATTACGTAAAATAAATGCCTGCAACTTTTGCCACCGTCCCTGACTTGGAAATCGTAGAAATATAGATTTTTATTGAAAATACAAATGTTTGGAGAACATTTCATAGCGAACGAGGCGTAGGACGATGACGAAACGGAATGGAACGCTGAAAGGAAAGCGAGAGGATCGGTTACTCTGTTTTCGCTTTTTTTAAACTCGACTAGACCAACGTTCTCTTCAACGTTTACGCTCGAGGAGCCACGATGTCGCGGTCATCTCGAAGACCGTTTCACTCTAATCGGCCCAGATTAAATGCCTCCTCTGAAACGATCTAGCGCTTTATACGGAGACGCGGCTCGTGGAATATATCATGCGTTTGTCATTCTGTACGAGAGGCGGAGGTCGTAGGAAGGAGGAGAAGAAGAAGAAGAAGAAAATGAGGAAGGAGGCTCGAAACTCCATTCGAACCTTGCCAGGGCCGTATCGGCGGGATTAATGGCAATGACATCCCGCTCGTGGCCAGATGAGATTCTCCGGCTCGACCGCGAGAGTAGAAGAGAAAGGAGAGAAACGAGAAGGAAAGCGGCAACGTAGAGAGACGAAGTCGAAGAGAAGCGGAGAAAGAGGAGAAGAAGAAGAAGAAGAAGAAGTCGACGACGAAGCGGCGGAGGTGGAGGGCACCCGATGCGACTCGAGTGCGTTGACCTTAGGATTCGACGCGCGTCCTTGAGGATACCAAGATGGCGGGTTTATGCAACCGGCCACAATGGTATCTGCAGGCAGCGTCTCTGTCTCGTTGCGTTCTATTTGACGCACAACGATTCGACGCGCTTGCATTCTCGACTCGATTCCACGCATTCACGCACTACCCGGGTACCACCGGCACCGGCACCGGCACCGACACGAGCTTAAGACGCGCCGCCGTTAAAGCCAGTCAGTCCAGTTTCCATTGCGGCAGCCTGCACGGGACGAGCCGGGAATACACGAGGTGGATTCGAAAGGAAATCAAATCCGAGGAAAGGCCAACGAACGGCCTGGGATGCGCTCCACGACCTCTGCTACTCTTTTCCACGACCGACTGACTACCTACGCTCCATTTCGATGACGCCAAATGGAAAAGCGAGCTTCGTCCTCGATGGCTTCCCAGAGGGTTCCCGTGAACTACTCGTTGGCTCGTCAACGACCCTGTTCGCCGTTCCGAGCCACTTTTTTCCCCTCGGCCATCACCGATTCCTTTCGTAGACGTGGCCTCTAATTCGAACCACCGTACTCTCCGTAACATTTTCTGAATTCCAACACCCGACGACGAGGCTATTCATAGCTTTCGTGGTATTTTTACTAGCGATCGTACGATTTCTTATTAGAACGAGATCGATCCATTTTCTTTCGATGTCGATTCTCTATCGAGGATAGGACAGCTGCCGGTCTCGCGTGCACGCGTACCACCAACGACACGGAACGTTTCGTTCGAGCGGGCAATAAATTTTGTCGTTGGCTGTCGTCTGGCCGACCGTAAAGATTCGGGAACTGGAACTCAGGAAATTGGTACGTCAGTGTCATCGGGATGTAAAAACTTGTTTCTTGCCTACTGCAAGCCGCGCCGCGCCGCGTCGTGGCACGCATATCGGGGAAAAGAGCCGCGGGGATTCGATACTGACAATCCAACCTCGGCCACTCTTCGAGCACTCGTGGTACCAGCACATAGACACGCGTCTACGTATGCGTGCGCGTTCCTGAGGGGGAGTGCACGCGCGTAAACGTATGCTCGCTTATACAGGTTGGCAACGAAGCACGAGTACACGGTTACACGGGCACAGACACCGCGAGAAGACATGTACAGAAGGTACACACGCGCGACTCGAGAAGGGATCCTTGATCCTACAGGAATGCAGTCTTGGCGGCCCACGCGGCTTCAAGTACCTCGCTCTGCGTCTCTCTTCGTCGTTCCCTTTTCCAGTCGTCTCGTTCCTCCTTCTTTCTTCGTTTTCACCGGATCTAATCCCCGTAGGGCCGACTTCGTAAAGCAAAGAGTGGCACCGTTTCAATGCACGTGCCTCGACGTTGTTCCGTCTCGTTTCCTTTCGTTTCCTTTCGTTTCATAACCAACGGACGAAACTAGAGGCGAAGAAAAACTTACACACTCGCGTCTGTTGCGGTCCGGTAAAACTTTCCAGCACAAAAGGGTGGAAAGAAGATGGTAATCGGTGGTGGCTCGGTCGACGATGACCAAGACAAATTGTCGTTACCACCGTTATCCCCGGTATCGTGAAATCTGAACTTGGGAAATCAAACGCGGCAATTTATCAGCCGGTCGGTCACAGATTCCTCGATTAAAATGGGAAAAAGATCCTATACGATAAATCGTACGTTGCGCAGAAATCCAAACGGGCTCCGGTAAATCAAGGGAAACCAAATCCGAGATTGCACTGGGTGGCGCGTCTTTCCACTCTCGAAGCTTCCTCCTACACCACCGACGTTTCTTCTCCGTTTTCCTCGCGGTTCAAGGGGAAGTATAAAGGCGAAAGGAAAAAAAAAAAAAAGAAATAACGACAAAAGCGAAGCAACGATTTTTCGCGGCACACGGCCGCGTCTGGTTATTAATTCCTCGCCGTTTAACGTCCGGCGAAAGAAAGGTACTCGAGTTTCAGCTCGCCGTGTTCCGCCGTCATGCGGCTCTCGCGTGATCGAACGAGCCACGTCCCCCATAAATAAACTTTTCATACATCAGCTTGGAGACCGGACGAGCGCGGGATAAAGCACATAGAGAGATGAAATCATAGGCTGCGCGCCGCAGGATACACCGGGCATCCGCACCGACGGTGTCCGGTAGCTCGCAGCGGTTTAATCGACGTTCCGCGAGGAACTTTTCCTCCTTGCATCTCCGGCGAGTGGTTAAACGAGCGCAACGCGTTGTATACACTCGCTCGGGAAGGGAAGATCATCTTCGATCTTCAAGGTCGACTGCATGCGGCTCGAGACCTTCTCGAGCAGGCGTCGGATCCAACCGTGGCGGCGAATTCGTTCGACTGTTTTCTTCGTCCTGCATCTGTTCCCCTTTCGTATTCTCCTACCTTCAAACTACACCTTTTCCAATCCTCTTCGTTCATACGACGCGTTGAATCGCCGATTTCCAAGACATGTCGACCGGTCGTAGTTTCCCCTTCAACGCGGTAGATGAACAGGAACCGATTGATTTCGAGGTAAATAACTTTTAACATGTCTTCCTAGCAGAAGCGTTATTAACTGTGAAAGTGATCCTCGTAACACGAACACAACGGTGTTCCTTAGATGACCGATTACTTTCCCCTGCCTATCAGGATTTCAGTAAGTACGAATTGGACAGTTGGGCGGAAGGAAATGAAGAAGAGGAAGAAGGAGAAGAAAGAGGGGAAAGAGGAAAATCTACGGACGAAGATTCTACCGAGTGGAATGTGGTCGCAAAATGGAGTGACGAGGGTGAAAGTTACCATGAGGGGGAGGAAGTAGGTGAAGCAGAGGAGTTATTTTCCTCGACGATTTCTAGCTCGGAAAAGTTGGAAGAGGAAAGGCCAGTAATAGAGGACTCGGTGATACCCGCAGAGGTGCGCATAAACCTGTCATTCGGTCTCGTTCTCTTCGTGGTGTTGCTATTCCTCACGACCTTCGTGATACATTAAGATTCTAAGCCACTATGCTTTCTGATCTCTCTTCTTTTATCCCCACCCCCTATCTGTACTTTGATCCGTGTATTTGCACATAATGCCAGTCCGATAACTTCTTATTCTAAATGGAGAAGATGTAAATAATAAAGAGGTTTCTGGTGTAACGTTTCATCGTCCTCCTTTTCCCCGCAAGGTTTCCGCTGATCGCGAAGCGATTATCAACAGGTTGAAAGAGTTACAAGACGAGCTGAGTGAACTGCGAAGGAAAAACAAGATGCTAGAGCTTTGGATCTTTCGACAGATGAAGAAGGTTAAATAAAAGAAAAAAAAACGTTCGATCCTTCTTTCGCTCTCTAATTTGCATTTCCTTCAAGTAGACCCAAGAAAGAATAACACCGTCGGATCTGAATAAAACCATCGAGCAGATGGAAGAAGTGTACAAGGAAGCATTGCGAGCGTACAAAATGCAAATCGACGAAATATCATCGCAGCAGGCTGAGCTCAAATCGGAGTTCGAGGATTACTTGAAGAGGATGCAAACGATCAGGGAGGAGGAACAGCAAGCCTTCGACGCGTTTTTGAACCGTGAAAAGGAGGTGGCGATCGACTTGGTTTTCGAAAAAACAGGCAAGAAGATCACGGAGAAGATGATGAACGGTCTGATGCGTCGTCAGGTGTTTATCGTATCAATTATTCGGTTATTTGGAAAATTTCGTTTCGGATCGAATCGCTTTGGATTACACAAACATTTCACTTCGATGTTATCACTAAATTTCACTTTGAATTTTTCGACTTTCATGCCAGACAGCGCGTCGCATAGTATTGGCACGGGATCGTATGAGGTACGTGTTTCTTCAGCATCGTCTGGAAGATCTGAAGGTACGGCTGAGAGTGGCGGAAACACTCGGAGAAGGAATGACCACGATGGACTACGAGGCGCTTCACGTGGCCAATATGGGCTACAAGAACAGGCTGGACGAACGAGATCACGAATTAGAAAAACTACGTATCAAGTACGTCCGTGTGTTTTCCTTACCTCTCCGGTGATTATATCCGGTGCTCGATCGTTGACAGAATCGCTGAGACGGTGAACGGAGTGGCTCAGTACAAAGAAAAGGAGATATGCATCGTTGAAGATATTGAATACGGCAAACAAAATCTGAATATGTGTCGCGAAGCTAGCACCAATATTCGAGAACGGGTGAACAGAGCTCGATTGACGTTAAACGATGTACGATCCACTTTAAACGAGAAGAAACTCGAAGCGGGCTTGCTAGTTGCTAAGTAAGGCTTGCAAATATTCGATAACAGATCTTTGCTCGTTTAATGTCATTGAATTTTTCGTCAGGCAAGAACTGCTCGAGATGGAGAAAATGATGAAACTGAAAGGTTTATTGAAGGAAAAAATCAACGAGTTGCAGAGAGAAGTTCAACGATACGAGGTGGCCAAGCATAAGCTGCAGGAAGAAATCGGGGCATCGCGGCAGCACTGATGAAATCTACGCCGTGAGGATTTTGTGACACGATATTGCGAAGCAACGGGTTGAACAAATTGATGTGAACGTGGACTATCCACGTCGGGGGAAAAGTCACGATATTTATTATAAAATTCAATCCGGTCGTGTAATTTGTTACAATGTATGCCCGTGTAACTGTCTCGCTTAACTGGCAAGCAATTTATCAAGCTCACCGTGCAGCTCGTTGTGATTCGCAGTTCTCTCTGAAATGGTATTAATTTGATTGGTCGTGTCAGGCCGCCCACTGGTGTTTCAAGACCGATCCGTCGACACGACCGAGGGGTACATATTAATCGAATGGACCGGCGGATATCTCGGCGCATCGTTAACAATTTTTTCTTTTGTGTTTTTAATCAACGATGTAACAAGCTTCTCTGTCGATGAATTAATTACGAGATCGAATCGGAAGAAACGAAATCTGTTCCATGAACTTGGTCGTGATCAGCGACTATCGTTCATCTGTTAACGAGCAACATCGTACATAGCGTAAACGATTTTAAAATTCATACTTCCCTTTCCACGCATACGGAACGAAGGTAGGAAATGCGTTATAAATTGGATTGCGCGTAGGAATATTAATTCGCTGCTTGTAAGCGATTCAGTTCGCTTCGTTAATTAAACGATAATCCGCGAATCGTGGCGCGTGTTCGCCGCCTTGACGTCTCGCGTGTATCTTTCGCGTTCAAAAGAAAAATGTAATGTAAATTCCGCCTTCGCCAAGTAAGTTGTTGTTCATCTTGAAACATCCTCAGCCAGTAATTCTCGAAGCTCTCGGATTTCCACGACATCACCGGCCATATTTCTTCGAGCGTCTAAGTTCGCGAAACAACTTCCCCGATGTTTCATAATCGCCATCAGAGCCGGACGATGAGTTAGCGTTCGATTAGCAAAAGCGCTTCATTGTCAGCCACGTGGGTAGTTTCATTCATTCGTCCACCCACGTGGGAACGGCGTTATTTAAAAGATTTCAAAGGTTATCCGCACGCTCACGCGTTCGATCGCGCAGCAAACTCGCAAACACCAGCTCGTTCAGCAGCGTAAAGCCCGGAAAAGAATTGTCTATTAATTTCACGTGGGAGTTTGAACGTGCTTTGACCGGGGCAGATAAAATCAGCCAAGGGTGGATCTCCCGCTGTTCGTATCGCAAAGGGCACGGCATCGATCGACGTACCGATTCCCCTCCCTGGGCCTGTTCGCATGATTTCGGGCCAATTAGGAGCGGCGTCGAAGCCATTAATTCTTTTTGGTAATTTGTCCGTGGCCGGAATTGATTTAAGAGCGACGCGTGGACCGAGGGTAAGACGAATGGTTCCTCGTGTAACACGAAAAGAGATGACGTGTCAATTAAGCTACCCTACAATCTGCCGGAAGATTATACGCGAGGGACCACGATACGTGGAAAGATAATTCACGCTGAATCTTTCTTCGATCCTGCCCGATCCGCACGATTATTCATATCCGTCATTCACGAATCGACGCGTCTTGTGCCGTTATCTGCCAACGGATAACTCTTCTACAGATTTACGCTTGTTTTATTCGACGACGATCACAACTGACCACCTAGGTGTCGAAGCTAGCGTCAACTTTCATGACGCGTTTCTTAATTTTACGCGTGAAAAGGCTGACTTTACCCTGCGGACCTTTAGAAGAATTTGTATTCAGTGTCCTCTTGCTACCTGTCGACCTGTCGCGATCCTACGATACGCCAAGGAAATTCCTTCCCGTGTCTCCGTCTTTCTTTCGGATCCTTTCGTATACCTGACTGCCGTGAACCGCTCGTATCTTCCCAGAAACTCTTCCATTTTTCCTCGAAGCACGTTCAACGACAACAGCAGCCAGGTTCCCTGGTGGAACTTTCTTTCCGTTTCACGCCGGTATCTCTGCGATCTGCTGTGATTCTTTCGCGGTTGTTTCCGCGACGGTACAGAAACTTGGCTCGTGCAAGTGTCGAGGTCGTAGTTCGATAATAAACAGCGACACCGTCGGATCGAAAGAGCGCGTAAAAGCTGCTGGTTGGTCAAAGACAACCGTGTATGCGAAAACAGAGAGAAATCCACCGGCGAATTATGCAGATCTGACGTATTTGCATATAGTTAGCATACACGAGACTCGTTGCACACTCGGCACCGTGCTATGGACTTTCATCTATTTACCATAAAAACGTCAACGGTATCGGATCCCGATGGATCCCGTTGACGGTCTCACGCCGCCTCGCCCTTCATTTTGTACGTCTCGACTGTGTCGTACGAGTTTCCGCTGTTAAAGCCTAGTTTACGTCGCTTGCAGAGTGTAGGAATTTTTGATACAAGAAAGGGTTGAAGAAGAAGGTTTACTTAAATTTTACAAATCGATCGATCGAACGCGACAATTACGCGAACGCGGAACCCTTCCGTAAAAGGGAAAACGCACGTTAAGGAATCATGTCCATTCTCAAGGTCGACCGGTATCCTACCCAGCTGCTTACCGTACACTGCATAACGCGTTTCTATTACGCGGTCAATTGCAGCGATTGTTGCGTGTCTCTCGCAATCAGCGCCACAAGCAGCGCGCGTGCTTTCTCTTTCTCCTCTTTTCTCCATCGCCTTTCTCTTTGTCCGCCCTACCGCCCTCGGTTTTCGAAACTTCGATTTCCGAAGTGGTCTAGCATTAAATCGCTCGCTGGATACCGGTGATCGTTAGAGAAAAGTGGTAGCGAAATAGTAGGTTCGATGAAGAAATATCGGGTAAAGGCGAGTGTTTGAGATTTACGATCATTTAAATTACACCGTGCTACGCTTATGCGATTTCGTTTACAGAGATTACCTATCGAACGATCGATGTTGCAAGGGTAGGTTCGATCGAATGTCGCGTCGGGGTTTGCGAAAAATTACGGATCATAGCTGGCTGTCGCGGTTGGCAAATTGCGCGAACAAGATTGACGTGTAATGGGTGTCAAAATAACAATACGCGCCACGTCGAGATTAGACAGCGCGCGTCTAGCGAACGAGGACTTGACGCGAGGAAACGATAATCCGGGTCATATGAAACGAACGATAAATCATATCGATACAGCGCTTCTATTTTTGACTATTTCATCGTGAGGCTATTAGTCAAAACGATACGAATATGTAGTCTCTTCGCGTGCCCGATACGAATTATAGTTTCTCTCTGCTTTTAGTGCTATCTAAATGGTACCGGTTCACGGAAATCGTCTAATATTCTACGAAATCGCCCACAATAACATTATACTAGTCGAAAACCGTTAAATGGACTATCAATATTTCAAATTTCTATGATGTCTAGTATGAGAAAATTCTTATATTCAAGCTATTGTATTGAAATTAAGAATTGCACGGAATTTCGACCTCCTAAATGACGAAACTTGGAGATCAATTTAAAATGAATCCTATTGTACAATCGAGTTAGGGAGATCTGGAATTTAGCAATAGCTCGTCCGTAGCGTCGGTCCCGGGGGTCTCGATCCGGTCACCGGAACACAAAGGCGCCTTTTCGTGCCGGTTGCGCCACACAAAAATAGCGTAATCACGGTGATTAACGAGAAAACTATGTCTCCGGTGAGTCGGAGCAGCACGTAGACGATCGGAGACCAGCAGCCACGTGCATGCCTGGTATTGTGACAAACGGACAATGTGCGCGGATCGATATGCGGAGCAACGATTTAAATACAATTACCCGCGTCGACACGCATACACACGCGTCGAGAGTACCTTGTTTCATAACGAGCAACAGCGTGACACGTTCAGCCGGACGATCCGATCGTCGAGAAACCGCGAGTAATTCGCCGCTCTTAAGTATTTAGAAACGGTTTAATGGCATCGATCATTGAATCGTCCTCGAACCGGCGGCAGAGATCCTCGTCCTTGACAAAAGGCACGACAGATGGCCAACAAAACGACGATGCAGAACGTTTCACGATACAACTCGTTGTTCTTTGCGAACTGATCCAGAAACGAGAAGAAGACGGAACGCGTGGGAGTAAAAGGCGAAACGTTCGAAAGAAACTTTCTATAAAAAGTTAATCGAAAATGAATCGATCATTGTTCGAGCTTAGGTTCCATTGAAAGGAAACATCAGGAATCGCTTTTAAGCAGAGGGATATTGAAAATCCATTACCGAGCGAGAAGATATTTCAATCCATATGTATTTTCGAAAGTTCCGAATCGCGTTTCGGAAGGAATTTTCGCGTTACACTCTGTCTGAGCGACACGTGGCCAGGCGTAAAATTACAATGATATACCGAAACGTAGGATACACGGCTGACATTATGTAAGTATAGTCGTAAATGTGTAATAAACGAGAGGGAATGCCGCGTTTTAGTCACATTTTATGGGACAAGAAGTCGCGCGTGGGTGAAGGAAGCAGAGAACTCTCTACAATTTTTATGGTATCGAGAATGTACATCTGTTTTGTGGCGTGGCACCGATGTCCGTGATAAACATTCGTGTGTATCTGCTGCCACGGTAATCCGTTATCATTGAGTTCCGTTTTATGATCATCGTCCACTTCGAATGCCGTCGAAAAAGCTGAAATCTCAGAGGGACGCTTTTTACGATTCGATTGTACGATTAGATGTAAATAAATCTCGTTAATGAACACTTGAGAAACGTTGTTGGCGTGGGATAATTTTGAAACAGAAACGTCATCTTCCGCTACTGCATTCGTTGGAACGAGACCAACGATGGGTTTAATTCTCGAGATAGCAATACTTTTATCGCAGAGTTAATTCGAATATCGTGGTGTAGGTTTTAAGATTGAACGTTCTAATTGCAAGGTAGAATCTCTCGGAGAAGTCGGTGCTAATGTAAATTCGTCATGGTGCCACTTTATCTTCATCCCGGGGAATCCGATGTGATTAACGATAACATTCGATTTGACGGAAGAAGAAATGTATCGGTGAAACAGTGCGCGATACGCGAAGAATTTTTATACGTTTCTCTCGATGTCCGTAGGTACCTGATTTTGCCATTAAGCAGGTTTTTGCTCTTATTTATCATCTTCAATTTCACATTCCGGGATATGCAAATGAGACACGGGTCACGCGTTGAAACAAACGCTACACGAAAAGAAATTCTCCGCCGTCTTCTCGTACGCGCTTTTAACGAACACCTACATCGCGATTCGAAA